GTTCCATGATAAGTGTTCTGGCTGGACTGAATGGAGTTTCCTTACGCCTATTTTCATCAACATAGTTTAACGTTAATTTCGGTTCAACTTACTCTTTTTCTAATCTTTAGAACTATAGAAAAAGACGAAGAATAAGTTGAAACCGAGATTAAAGTTAATCTATATTAATGAAACATGCATTAATGTTCCTTTCTGATACAACATCATATAAACGAACGACTATGTCGAATTTATTGTGTGATACTGAAAAATTGTCTAACAAGAAAGACTCATCAACTGCTAGACGCTGATTCTAGCAAGTGATATATCGTTGGAAAACACTCATCGAAGTGATCACAGATATACGTCGTTAAATCTCCCGAACGAGTCCTGTGATATACAAGTATCGTTTTGAGCTGGGGACCCAAGCGGTCTCATAAATACAGAAATTGATAAGATAACGACTCAAACTATGATGTACTATTTACAAGATACAAGATAGCGATTTAACATATATGTAGACTACGGTCCTCTTGATGCTACGAATGCTTCGAAACATTTTTTTGATTGATTAATAAAATTCTTTCTTTCAATTGTCATTCAAAAGTTTCGAAACATTTGTAGCGTCAAGTGGATTGCACCCATAATTACACGCAAACGAGACACGGTGACTTCGCTGTGAAAGTCTTACGCAAAAACAGAATACAATACTTTAAGTGATTCGAGTGAACGGCATGCGGCAGTTAAAGATTAATTATTCGCGGTAGCTCCTTGTACGGGCCATAGCTTCTCGGCTCGAATTCGTGCAATTCATTCGCTTTCATAATATCAGGGATCGGCAGCTTTATAATAATCTTACGCTTGCCTCACTGATAAATCCTCCTCAGGCTGCTTTCATGTGCAGCGTAACTTGCGTCAACCAATCAAATTATATCAAATTAAATCAGCAACTATGCCTTATTTTAGTTGAGACATTTGATTGACTAATGCAACTTATGCTTACGCAAATTACGCTGCACATGAGGATGCAATTAGGGTGATAGTCCATGTAGCGGATCGTGTGTAAGCGGATTCTCATATCGACAATCACAAAATCATTCTCTTAGATCTGTTTGCAAATTTCGCAAGTAGATCTAAGAGAATGATTCTGTGATTAGCGAATCCACGATTCGCTGTATCATCCTAATAGAGGAGAAAGAAAGCAAGTGGCACATGATCTGTTTTCTATTTCTGCACTAGATTGCACTCTCTTTCTCACTTTCAACAAATATCGAACATATACCTGTCTCACTTTTTCCAAAAGTGTACACTAGTTCACCCACAGAAAACAGATTTAAAGTTTGCGCGGTTCCTATAGGCTGTGGTCAAAGTTTCGTTATAAATGCTTTGGAGCATTTGAGGACTAATTAGAAAAAAGAATTTTACAAATTGATCAGTTAAAAAAACGCTTTAAAGTGTTTGCAGCATCGTTGATCCATAGTTACCTAGTTAGTTCTTGCGTACCGCGTACCGCGCTACATATAATCGTATCTTTACACAGCTCTCGATTGAATATAGGGGATTCTATATCTTGAAACGAGATGAAAATTACAAAAGTAACGAATTTACTAGAATATTGATAATTTCATTGGTCAATACTAGTAAATTTGCTCACTTTTGTAATTTTTATCTCGTATTAAGATACAGAATTGATCTCCAGATGTATGTGTTGTGTCGACGATAATGCTGGGTTCACACTGGATCTGACGTGCATCGTATGACGCTCTGCAATCAGAAAACAGAATTTTGCTTCGTATCATCGATACAAAATAAAATTCTGCTTTCTGATTGGTTACAGAAACGTACGACGTACGTTGGATCCAGTGAATTCAGCATAACGGACAATTGGAACGCAACTTGTGTTGCCCTGTGCACGATAATATCTAGAGATATTGTAATTGGAAAGCATCTCTGTTATCTGTTCCATCTTGCATGGGATTCTAGCCTAATGAAACTCTCGTTTATTGCGCACTCAGTGTGACTAATGAAATATCTTGTCAATTGTGTTGTATTCTAAGCTATTTTGTTGAAAAACATTACAGGAGTCTATTAAAGTATTTATATCTTTTCGAGGACAGATTGTTTTTAACAACCCCAGTTTTATTTTATTTTTTCCGGCTTTAAAAAGGAATCAAGGTATAATGAACATTTATTGTAATATTTGTTGTGTATAGATACCTCATTTCAAAATTAGTGACACAAAAAAATTCTGAAAAATTATTTTTCAAAAAAGAGAAAAAATTGTTTTTAACTTTACAGAAAATTATTAATTTAAATTATTAAACTAATCAAATAATATTGAAGTAAAGTATATACTCATCAAACATAATTAAATGTTATTTTTATCATTCACATTTTACAATCCTAAAAAACCTACACCTTTTTTGTTGTGATGATTTCAATGTCTTACAAAATTATGACAAATTCAGGAATAAATTATTAAAAATAATAACTCAAAATATCATCAAGAATTTATATTTATCTTAATCAACTAAAAGGGCTAAATTTAAAATAACAGGTTTTTTTCAAACTTTGTTCATTAAAACAATCTTAGTTCTAAATGTTCTCTGTAAAAGACTTTCTTTTTTATTTATAAAAATGACACAACTATATAGGTCTTTTTAAAGAGATCATAACATTTTGTACATATCAGTGAATATATGTATTCGTCAACATACATGACATTTTAATATCACTTCTTCTTTCCAAAGACTGGAAGTGGATATGGAATGAAAAAGGTTGGAAGAGGCAAATATCCAGCAATAAATGAAATATCAGGCTGATGTATAGATATTATATATTTATATCTTGTAGAAGAGGTTATGATTTCTTTAAAAACTTAAGTACGATATTAGTGCCATTTAACAAATGGATTGTGAAATTAAATTTATTTTTAATTTATTTTTGATGATTGATAATCTTTATATCTAACTCATTCATGAAAATGACTAAAATATTACAATTTTATATTCATGCTACTTTTTAAGTAAGGGAACCATATAAATTGTAATAGTAGCAAGAACAAATTTTTTTATGATAATTATTACTCAATATACATAATTATTTATAACCAATGTTGCTAGATCTTTATGTTTCTAATTGATTATATTTAAATAAATTATAGCACAATGGGAGAACGAAAGGGAACAAATTTGTACTATCCACCAGATTATGATCCCCATGCTGGTGGTCTTAATAAATTCCTAGGTACTCATGCATTGCGTGAGCGAGCTCGCAAAATACACATGGGCATTTTAATCATACGATTTGAGATGCCCTACAATATATGGTGCAATGGATGTGGAAATCATATTGGCATGGGTGTTAGATATAACGCGGAAAAAAAGAAGATTGGAATGTATTATAGCACCCCACTCTATCAATTTCGTATGAAGTGTCATCTCTGTGACAATCATTTTGAAATAAAAACTGATCCTGCTGTAAGTTACTTTTATAATTACAATTGATAATGCAAATAAATTATTGCTTCTGAAATATTTGCTAATATTTTTATTGTCTTTTTAGAATCTGGATTATATCATAGTGAGTGGTGCAAGACGTCAAGAGAATCGATGGGATCCTAAACAGAATGAGCAAGTAGTACCTGAAACAAAAGAAGTCTCATGCAGATTGTATGACGACGCAATGTATAAATTAGAACATGGTATAGAAGATAAGAAAGTAGCCAAATCTCGAAATTCAGCACTGGAAAGTGCAATAGCCTTAAATGAAAATATTTGGAAAGATGATTACAGTTCAAACTGCACAGTGAGAGCCTTATTTCGGGTACAGTTATCAAATTTAATTTTATATTATATAATTTTTTCATAAAGTATATTTAATTTTAAAAACAAAATAACTGATGTAAAAGGAGTAATTGAGAGTTTGGACGGTGAATAATGTGCAAAAGATAATATATAAGTAATATTAAGACAGACTTTATAAATTAAATATTATTTAATTTTATTAACATAACATAATTTTATTAATTCTATTCTCCATGCCACTCCAATTTAATCATGTCGCGTAGATCACTGATGATAGTAATTTTGTTCGCGTATATAAATTTGTTATATATAAATTTGTTTTAAATATATTTTATGATTAAAAAAATTACCAAAATTATAAGGAAGGTTTACTTATCAGTACGTCATCATTATGTATTTATATTAAAAATTATTTTATAATTACGTTTCTTTTATAAACGAAATACCAAATGGCTCGAAAATCACTGGCACGCATGGAACATGTTAATATGTATTTTCACTGATTATATACGTTTCATATTACAGGATAGAAAAAAGGAACTTCAGAAGAAGCAAGCTGAAGATCATGCATTACTTAAAAAGACTGGATTAGATATTAATTTAGTAAATGAACATGAGGATGACATCAAACTAGCAAAATTATTGACTCATAAGAAAGGTGTTTATTCAGCACTTAAGCAAACTAAAATGCACATTTTCCTGTTACATATTTATGCTTTCACGAATGCTTTCTTTTTAGGTGCAAGGAAGCAAGATGGTGTGGAATTGAAACGGTTAGTTTCGATTATACGATCTAAAAATAAAAAAAAGATGTCTTCTTCGAATAATCGATTAAAACTACAAAGCCAAGAATCACTAAAGACACAGGAAATAACGAATAATGCTATTATCTCCAAAATTAATAGTTCAAGTATATCTCTGGTCAATTATGATAGTTCTAATACCGATAGTGATACTTAGTATTTTATCTTTCTCAAAATGTATGTACGATATGTAATATATATTTGTAAATATAACAGATTACGAAAATAATTTTTCTTGCTTCTATAATTCTTCCCTGAATCTAAATGTATAAAATCAATTCAAGTTCCTCCACTGGTTCAAATTGTGTAATTTTTATTTTTCTCTATATATAAATCAATTATTTAAAAAATTTACAATTACAAAGAGCTGCTTTTTCTGCAGCTAATATTTCTTATAATTACATTGCACTGATTTCATTCTTAAAATACATATATTTTTAAAGATACATAACAGTGAATAGAGATTGCAATAATCAATAAATCTCTTGCAATAATCAAAGAAATTGAATTTGTGTCAGATATCAAAATTTACAAAGAATACATTTATTGTTTTATAGGCTTTATTAGGTTTATTATTGTATCTAAAGATCGATGATAGATTGCTGTTCCACGATTGCTGTAATCTGAGGTGGCAGTTTTCTCTTCACTACATAAATCTTCTTATTGGAGAGACACACGACATAACAATGATCCTTATATTTGATTGATATCTTTTCAAAAGGATCGTGCAATGGAAATGCCTTAGGATCAACTTTACTCGTCAGTGTTACTAAACTACTGATAATATTTGCCACTCTTTCGTCATTTTCTAAATCTCCTCCAGACTGTAATACAAACAAAGACAGAATAACAGAAGATTCTATTTGTTGTTACAATGAAAAGAAGAACATCACTAGAAATTGTCTCTTACTGTTAATACAGCACCATCCTCAGTTAATATCAAGTATCCAATTTGATCAGGTATACGCTCCAATGCCAACATTTTCTATAACAAAAAGCTTGTTTTGAGACCTATTCTTTATTGTTACATCAGAATGTATTAAAATTTTCTATCTCATTTTCGTCAAATTTCAAATATAATATCTTTCATTTTAAATACAACAAATGTACATGGGTGTGTAACAATTCAGCCATTAAAGAATAGACCTTTAGTTCATGACATAAAATTTAGAGAAAAATAAACAAGAAAATCAATAATGTTAAATAAAAGATATTAAGACATAATTATCTCTCTCTCTCTCTCTCTCTCTCTCTCTCTCTCTCTCTCTCTGTTTCTTAATTTACTTTGTATGTATTTTAACTAATTATATATATCGAGCTTATTCTATTCTACGCATAGAACAAACAATGAAAAACGAAAGAACTAATCAGCTTACGTGTGATGATAGCGTCAGTGAACGATGAAATGTCATGTATACAATAAATTAAGATGAATACACGTCTCAGCACTGACGGAGTAATATTAAAGAGTGTAATAAAAATACGTTCGAAAACTTCCCGGGAAATTATAAAAGGCACTCTACTATCTAGCATGATATAAAGTTCATGGTAGAAATATAATTTCAAATTCCTCATCAGGATGCACTCAGATACCCAGAAAACGTTCTGATTCTTTTTGAGTGCCTTTATTGGGTGCTAGGTGGAACATTCAGATTCCTATTTTATCTACTCAGGAGGAAAAACCGGTTCCTTGAATGTGACATGACGTTGAGGGTGACACATTAAAGACTTTCTGTGCAATCCCAGCATGTCAAACATGCTGGGATTGCACAGAAAGTCTAAAATTTAAATTTCAGGTTATGCTTGTGTGTTATAACAAAGAGAAACCTAAGAGAGGACATGACGGCCCAAAACCTGTAACCGCAAAATGCTGCCGCGCACTGCTGTCCTCTGACAAAGTGGATGTACCAAATATCGCTTTATCATCTCCAGCCTTGAAAAATGGATGTTGCTATGTAGTTTACATCCACTTTATCAGAGGGCAGTAATGCGCGGCAGCATGAGACTATATTGTGGCTGCTGTGGCGCTGAGTGTGTCTGAGCGCTATCGATGACTGACAGCGAAGAATTGGCGGTTAAAATTTGCAAATAAATGTTACTCATTAATTCTGACTCATAAGGTTTAATACAAACTCAAATAATTGTTTACAACGTACAGATTACAAAAGTAGAGACGTGATTGCATGTATTTGACGGGTTGGATCGCATTATTAGGATACGAAAAACTAAGAAAATCTACAATATAAGCATTTATCTGATGACACAAGCAGTTTCCTAATGACATGAGCAATAACCGATGTCGATCTCGCAATGAACATAAAGGGAAGATTAATCTTATCGAGCATTAACTTAAAATCGCTGAGACTTAAAAAAGGTCCACACGCAGAATGCCATGACATCAGAGAGAGAGAGAGAGAGAGAGAGAGAGAGAGAGAGGAGAGAGAGAGAGAGGAAAGGAAAATCAGAAAAAAAAGAACTGACTCGAGCACTGCAACTAATGCTTGCAATGTCACAGTATTCTCTTCTCAAATGTAAAAGTTAAGGAAAGAAACACTGATTAAATTATTGCTAGAACAAAAATAACAGAAAATAAAATTAAATGAAATAAACAGAAACTTATTTATCGCTTAATGTAATATTGCGCGAATTAATCCTTAAATCTAACAATCTTTCGCTTGGTTGCTGGTCCAGGACATGTCTTTGATTCACATTGCACTGGAATGTTAGTTAAAGACGGAGATGCAATGGACGGAGTAATTTCTGAATCTTGAATTGTTAAATAAGCGGGCTTAAATCTATTGACAGTGGTGTTAATGCATCTACCGTCGACTTTTGTAGCAAAAATGTTGCAAAGATGCTTTATCTAAAATGTGCTCTAATACTTTATGCGATCCGGTGTACAATTAGTCCAGGGGATGCCTATTACCTTTTACTTTGAGGAAGATGTGAGAGCATTATATAAATCTTTTTTGGAAAAATAACTTAGGTCTAATATGATGAGAGATTGATCTAGGCCGTAACTTTTGCGTAATTATGCGGAAATTCTTGACTAAAATTCGTAGGTCACTCGACATTTCTTCAGAGGAGAAAAACTCATCCGGTATTTTGAGCGTAATGCCATAAACTAATTCCGCTAAAGAAAGAAGTACCTAGATCTTTGAAAAAAGTTCTTAGTCCGAACAATACTACTGACAGTGTATCAGTCCATTGAGTTTCATAGTGGCACATTAATGCAGTTTTCAAAGAGCGATGCCATCGTTCGATGATGCTATTAAATTCTGGATGGTATACAGTTGTCCGACAACGTTTAGAACCGACAAATTTGGTTAATGCGTCGAACAGCTTCAAATCTTGATCAGTTGTGATGTCAGACGTGGAGCTCCAAATCCGGCTATCCAGTGACTAAAAAATATCACTGTGTCTACAGTACAATCCTGTATGGAATAGCTTTCGGCTAGCCAATGAGTAAATCGGTCAATCATTGTTAAATAGCTGAAATCTTTGAATGGAGGTAGAGGACCGATGATACATGCTCGAAACGAGTATCTGATACTGATATTATGCCGAATTTTAGATTGCTGGCATGCTAGACAAGTGCGAGCCCACTCTTTAGTCTAATGTCTTTAGCCATGGAGGGCCACACAAATTTTTGCGTAATTTGCCGGTGAGTTGCTCTGCCTCTTGGGTGAGACATTTGATGTACTATGTCAAAAACTCGTCTTCGTAATGATCCAAAAATGTATGGTCTGATCTCTTCTTCTGAAGTGTCACAGTAAATATTGGATGCTGTTTCCGATAAGATAAACTTTTTAAGCTTCAAAGACATTGATATAGATTGCTTCAGTTGTTCAGTTGCAATTCATCGTCCGAGACTTGAGCTTCTGCAATCTTTTGCATATCAAAACTAGAAGTTGGCATCACGATAGTGACGCGAGATAATGCATCTACTACAATGTTTTCAGCGCCTGAAACATGACATACATCGGTTGTGAAATTCGAAATGAAGAGTAGTTAACGGGTTTATCTTGGCGACATTTGATCCGATTTCCTCTTGAATGCGTATACGAGGGATTTATGATCCGCGATAACATGAAAGTTTCGTCCCTCTAGCATATATCGGAAATGTTTGATAACTAATAATTCTCTATCATATATACTATACTTTATTTGCATAGGCGTGAGCTTCCTTGAAAAGAAACTGAATGGTTGAAAAATCCGTTGCTGTTGCAATACCGCATGATTGCTTTGTCTGAGGCGTCTGTTTGCAACAAAAGTGTTGCCTTGCTGTCTGGAAATGCGAGTGAGGTGGCTTGAAGCGAGATCCTTAATTTGTTGAAAAGATTGTTTGAGCTCAGGAGTCCATTCTATTTTCGCATTGTGTTTACGTCCCGAAATTGCATTTAGCAATGGCGCTTGCGAGATCTTTGAGAAATCGGTTATAGAAATTGAGCATTCCTAAGAATGCTCAAGTACATGAAAGAACCGTTGAGTCCTTTGATTAGCTGGTTCCTGAAATTCAGGGATAGCTTGGACTTTTTCGATAAAAATTTGATTCTTCAGCGCTGATTGTATGTCCCAGAAAGTTTATCCGAACACATTTATTCGAATTGCTATGTCATGCTGTTGAAGTCTGTTAAACAATATTTTTAGACTCCTTATGCTGTGTTTCGTCTTGCGAAGCGATTAAAATGTCATCAATATATTGGAAGTACAAATTAGTTCGGTTTTTTTGTGTTCAAAAATGCATTTATTTCAAAATGAATGAACAGATCAATTAAAGTATTGTCCATCACTGCCTATTACTTTTTCCCATCTCTCAGGTAATTTTCGAATTCCATCTCGAAAAAGGACTCGTCTTTGGAGGCGATCCAATTTTGGAGCCAATTTTCGATTTCTGCGAAAGAAATGAACCGGTGACTTGCCAAATCATGCTGCATCCTTCGGAACCAGTCATCAATCAAAAGGAGCAATGTCCGGAATACGGCGGATGTGGTAAAACATTCCATTTGAGCGTTTCCAAATATTTTTTTACTTGACTTTAGCGACATGAGGCCGAGTGTTGTCGTGAAGAAGAACTTTATCATGTCTTTGCTCGTATTCCGGCCGTTTTTCTCGCAATGCACGGCTCAAACGAATCAATTGTAGCCGATACCGATCGCCCATAATGGAATCACCAGGTTTCAACAGCTTATAGTAAACAAGATTCTTTTGGTCCCATCAGATACAGAGCTTTCTTCGAATCATGAATGTTCGATTATGGTGTTGATGTTGAGGTCGATGGCAACGATTGACCGGGTTTAGCGTATAGTATTTTTTCTTCTTGAAGTTGTCGTAGAATATCCACTTCTCATCTCCAGTCACAATCCGATGCAAAAAACTTTTTCTCTGTTGTCTTTGAATCAACTGTTCGCAAGTGAAAAATCGCCTTTCAACGTCTCTCGAGTCTCTTCAGTTCATAAGACACCCAATTTCCTTGTTTTTGAATCATTCTCATGGCTCTCAATCGTACAAAAACAGCTTGTTGAGTACTCCCAATGATTCTGCAAGCTCCTCTTGCGTTTGACTCTGTTCTTCTTCGAATAATGCCTCTAATTCTTTGTCTTCGAATTTTTTTGGCTATCCAGAGCGAGGCTTGTCTTCAACACTGAAATTTCCATCCAAACGTCGAAACCATACATGATTTATTCCCTACATGATTTATCAGTTGGAGCAGTGTCACCATAAACTTCGACAAGCATTCGATAGGCTTCAGCCGCACTTTTCTACCAATTAAAGCAGAAAATCAAAACCTCCCGCAAATGTTGCTTGATTAACACAAAATTCGACATTTCAAACACAGTAAAAATCAAAGTTTTTGTATAAAACTCAAAGCGATATAAACTGAATATTATTAGCAGAGATGATTAACCTCTCTGAAACCGCCAAAATCAGCTGTCACTATGAATCATTCACAATAGCTGGCGCCATCTTTAGAGAAACCGAACTAATTTGTAGTCCCAATAAGTAAAACAGAAGTCAAGTCCTGCCCGATCCATAAATCTTTGAAAAGTTTGTGCTGCGTTACGAAGTTCATGTCATATAAGAAAATTCGAAAAGTCCGAACGATGTAATGATTGTAGTTTTCGGGACTGATTCGCGAACTGGAATCTGTTGATATGCATGCACTAGACCTACCATAGAAAACACGGTTTTGCCATGCAGGAAATGTGTGCTGTCTTGCAAGAACGGAATTGAGTAATGATCTGGCAAGATTACCTTATTGAATTTGCGATAATCTCCACACAGATACCAATCGCTATTCTTCTTCTGCACGAGATGTAGAGGATTAACCCAAGGATTCTTGGAAGGTCTACATAAGCCTTGTTGCATCATGTACTCAAACTCTTGTTTAGCTGTTTAGTTTTTCTAGACAGAATCGACTGGCTTTATTTGACACGAGAGGATTGTTTCGATTACATGTTTTCTGAAACTCTCCATGTGCGGTTTGTTTGTGCGTATCGATGTCTTAAATATTTCAGAAAACTTGCTTAGGATCTCTTTGTATGTGCAGTTGTCGGCCAACGCTATTAAACGAGGATTAACTTTGTTGAGCAGAGAAACGTTACCGTCGATTAAATGCTTGTGCCGTATATCAGGCAGCAAATTGAAATATGCTAGAAAATCTGAGCCAATAATGAAAGTATCCACGACGATGATTATGAAAAGGCA